TGTGGGGTCGCAGCTTCGCCATCGCTGAGCTCCCTCCCAACCCAAACCGTGCCGTGACTCTGAAATGCAATCAGCAGAAGGCTTTGTTTCCCATATTGTGAAGGTGAGCCGTTCTGGGCTGGTAGCTGAGCGTTAGGTTTGATGCTGAGAGCAGGAAAGGAGAAACCGGTCTGTGATGATGGGTGTGAGCTTTGTGATGTCAGCACCACAAATCCCTGCAGTTCAGCGATTCTTTATTTCTGGTACTGTGATGTGGACTGGAATCCCTACAGACTTCACAGTGTTTTGTGTGCCTGAGTGAAAAAACCACATCTGAAATAATCGTACATTAATTAATATCTTTCTAATTACAAATCCATCTCTCTGTATTTTTATTTGGCCTTCCCTCGCAGTCCTTAGGTAGAAATAAAGGCCGTTTCCAAAATTATGCTTATTACAAGCGAGTTGTTTTGCTCTATTTTCCAGAACGTTAAAAAATGTTAAGTATTATATATTTATCAGTGTTACAACACGTGGATATTTTATTATTTTTCCACTTTCCGGTGACGAATTCTTCTAATTTTAAACTTGAACAAAAAGGCAACGTGAAACTAATGGGAGGTTTAGAAAAGCAGAATGATTTCTGAAAGGAATTTTGTTTTCAGCCTTGTTTGCTGTCTGTTTGTGAACAGTTTGCCCAGCGAGGCTGCGGGTGCCTCCGACCTGGAAGCACTGAAGGCTGGATGGGGCTGTGAGCAACCTGGACTATTGGGAAGCATCCCTGCCCATAGCAGGGGGGAGTTGGAATGAAATGGACTTAAAGATCCCTTCCCACTCCAACCATTCAATGATTTGATGAAAGCAGCGCAGGCTTGGGTGGGTGAGAGGCCCACAGCTCTGCTGCTGTCAGAGCATCCAAACTTCACATCCAGCCCCCCACCACAGAGCGGTGGGACCCTGAACACCTTGATGTTGTGACTTTTTGTTCTGCGATCTTCCAGTCTGATCAAAGGCAGTTTGGGTTTCCTTCCTGTTGGTACCGACAGCTCTGGAGCTGTGCTGGAGTCGTGAGGTGCAGCACTGAATGGTTGGGTGCCATTTTGATGCCTGTGTTCTTGCGCTGCTCCTGCCTGAGGCAGGGTTTCAGCTTTCTAAACAGAAGGCGGCTTCATAAGTGACCATAACTTGCTAATGGAGCCTGTTGTATCCCTGGACTTGATGATCTTGAAGGTCTTTTCCATCCTGAGCAGTTCTTCTGTCATTCTATGGCAACTAGGCTAGAAAAACCAATCAAATACGTTCTCATGTGTTAGCAATTACCTGCCTGCTTATTCATTGCCTCCCCGCAGCAGCTGGGATGGAGGGCTCTGAGTGTTGAGTTGAACACACTGCAATGCCTGAGTGCTGTTTGCTAACCCTGCCTCTTGTCTCTTGCAGATTCTGTTGATCTGAAGATGGCTGCACAGTCAGCACCGAAGGTTGTGCTAAAGAGCACCACCAAGATGTCTCTGAACGAGCGGTGAGGAAGCCAACAGCAGCTTCAGCTCATAAGAAAATTAGTATTTAATTATCACTGTCCGGTGTCCAAAAAAGCCAGCGTGGTTTCTGCCCTCTTTTAACCTCACTAAAACGAGCAGATGGCGTTGCACCTCTGTCTTAAACTGCAACAAATGTGGTACAGCAGGTTAAAAGGGCAATTGTTTCGGAGCAGTTGGTCCATAGCGATTAAAATTAAGCCGTTCAACACGTAAACGTGGCGGGATGTGTTGTGCCAAAAGAGAGAAACCCCACGCCCTCCCTTTTTTCTTCCACATGTTTTTACATTTATCTGGTCGGTGCTGCAGTATGGTAACGTGTTACCAAAGCTGCAGCAGGCTTGCTGCTTTGTCCTAGGCTGACACACGCACGTGGTCTGGCCTGTAAGAGGCATGCAGCAGGCTGCTACACCAGCCCAAAGGCCCTGTGACAACGTTTTGGGCCTTGTAAGAGGCAAACGCTTTGCTTCATCTCCATCTCTCTGTTCTCAGTGCTGATTTCTTTACCTTTCTGTTGAGTATTCTCCCGTTTTGTTGTCTTGTCTTGTTTTTTTTTTCCTCCTTCTCCGTGCCATCGAGCTTTTGCAGTTCTGCAGTGCAAACTAACGGCAATGCTGTGGTTTTGCTTTCTTGCTAATCTTGCTCTTGGTTTAATGATGGTTGAGGCAGAATAGAGCTGGTTGTGTGCAGTTCCTGCTCTGACACGAGCTGAGCTGAGCCCACGGCTGGAGCTTCTTCCAGAGAATGCAAGTGTTGAGGTGCAGTGCAGGGAAGGCTGCTGGCCTTCTTGCTTCTGGTCGGTCCAAATTCCTCCCCTGCGGGCTTTTCCCTGGGACACAGCAGGCAGCAGATGGGTTGCTGTTCATTTAACCACGCTCACCATCTCGCTGTTCTGCTCCACCGTGGCTCCTAGAGACAGAATGGCAGCGCAGGTTGAACCAAGCGAGCGTGCTGAGGTGGGGTGGAGGTGCATCAGTCCGTTCCCAGGGCAGAGTTTTCTCTGAGCCTCTGCGTGCCGACGTGGAGCTTTGGTGACGTTTCCCAGCTCTTGGAGGGCTGGTGGAACTTGGGCAGTCAGATTTCGCCCCGCTTCTCTGCCACGTCCCCCTCTTCCACCTGTCATCGACATCTCCGCTTCTCGCTCGTTTCCCATTCCTTCTTCCATTTCTAAAATCAGTAACCTAAAGCTTTGATCACTCCTCAATTAATATACAACCGTCATTCCTGAGTTTCCAGTTCTTGCACGCTGGTGGAAAGCGAGGAGTGCGTAATGACGTGGCCTAAGTACCGCTCTTTACGTAAAGGTTCACGGGATCTGGAGATCCAATCTTGAGAACCGTGAAATGCCAATAAATGTATGTAATAAAGCTTAATTTAAACACCCGTTTTATTCGACCTTGAAGCTTCACTAACATGCTGAAGAACAAACAGCCGATGCCAGTGAATATTCGGGCTACCATGCAGCAGCAGCAGCAGCTGGCCAGTGCCAGAAACAGAAGATTGGCCCAGCAGATGGAGAACAGACCTTCTGTGCAGGCTGCCCTGAAGCTGAAGCAGGTGAGGGGGAAAAAGCTGGTGGCTTTTTGGGGTGTGATGGGCGTGCAAAACATCCCCAGCAATTCGAGATGAGCGCTGATGGAGGGCCTCGCAGTGCCGTTCGTCCCTTCGGATGAGTCGTGCTGTGTAACTTACTGCTTAATGTTACTGAGTGAATCTATCTTTTTTTTGTCTTGCTGGCTGTTCATATCTCCTCTCTATTTTTTCAGAGAAATGTTCTCATTCTGGGTTTCTGGATCTGCTGAGTGCTTCATCTCTCAATGCAGCTGCAGCAACACTTGCTGCACCTTGCTTCCAGCCCTTAGAGCCCACTGAGGCTGGCTGCTCCCATCCCCACCTCCACCCCCTCGTGGTAGCAGCCGGCTGCGAGGACCAGATGAACCAAACTGATACTTGGAGGCTTGCAAATGCCAGGCTGCAGGCCTGGGTTTAAGGAATAGCATCCTGTTGTCCTTGTGCAAGTGTCTCTATCCCTCACCTCAGTGGGGAGCGCTGCAGGTCGCGGTGCGTTTGTTGAAGTCGCCCCCTGTGCAGAGCAGAAGATGGAAGCAAAGCCTCTGGCTTTTCACTCTGCTCCCCCACAGCTTACAGGGAAGGTGCAGCAGGCCGGTGCTGGCACGCTCTGCTCCTCGTCAGCCTGGTTCAAGCTTTAAAGTCTGCATTGAAATGAGAAAAGTCGGAAAGATTGGCTTAAAATGTTTGCGTAGAGCAAGGATTGGAGCTGCAGGGTAGCAGCACAGTGCAGCCGTGCAGTGTTTGCATAGCAGGGCTGCACAACTGGGCTGCAGCAGAAGTTGAGTTACTTCTGTGTGTTGCTTTACACGCAGGGAGAGCGCTGGGAAGCTCTCAGTTGTGCTGCTTCACACATAGCTGGAATACCTCAGTGCTCAGGGCTGTAATCTCTGATAAGGAGGAATGCAGCTGTGCATTTGATTGCCTTCTATCCCAAGCTTGAGAACACACTGCAGAGAGCTGTCCTCTGCTTTAAGAACAAAAACCTGACTTTTTTTTCCTTATCAAGAAGCAACTGCTTTGCTTTCCGTGCCGCTCGGATTGCTGCATGACTTTGCTGTTGTTTAACGATCTATTCCAGAAGAGCTTGAAGCAACGCCTCGGTAAAAGCAACATCCAGGCACGGCTGGGCCGCCCTGCAGGCCCCATCGCCCGCGGAGCCATGGGGGGAAGAGGACTGGCCATGGGGCAGAGAGGTTTGCCACGAGGAGCCATGCGTGGGGGCCGAGGAGGCAGAGCTCTGCTGAGAGGAGGGCTCCCACTGCGAGGTCAGTGCTGGGAGCTGCTGCTGCTGTGGCAGATGTGTAAGGCGGTTGTTTTGACGGCTTTGCTCTGAGATGGGTCCTGTGACGCTCCGTTGCTCTGTTGCAGGTCAGGGCCTGCTGCGGGGAGGCCGAGGAATGGCCCCGAGGATGGGGCTGAGAAGAGGAGGGCTGCGGGGCCGCGGGGGGCCGGGCAGAGGAGCCATGGGGCGAGGAGCCATGGGGCGCGGAGGACTCGGCGGCAGAGGTCAGTCTGAGCGGCTCTGAACGAGCTGCAGCTCCCCTCATTTCACACTGTGTGGCTGTGCAGCCCCAAACCCATCTCACAGAGTCACAGTTTGGGTTGGGAGGGAGCTCAGGGATGGCGAAGCTGCGACCCCACAGCGCCTGCAAAGCCGCCAACCTGCCCACGTCTCACAGCAGCCCAGGCTGCCCAGGGCCCCATCCA